ATCATTCCTATAACTTCTGTTTCACAATTAATCATTTTTAATCCTCATTGTGAGTAGTGATTTTCTGTTTCTTTGCATACCCTGTGATTTTTAAAATTTTTTTGTTTAGTTGCTGATAGACCTTTATTTATTTATATGTTGTGCTGAGAATTGAACCCAGTTCCTCACATATGCCAGGCAAGTGCACTACCACTGAGCCCTAGCCGCAGCCCCAGCCCTGGTGACTTTTGACTGAATACCTGATGTTATGATTCTACACTGTTAGTTGCTGGATTTTGTTGTATTCTTTTAAATAGTATTGAGCAATTCTGGAACAGAATTGTTACTTGGGATCCATTGGATCTTTCAAAGCTTGATTTTAATCTTTGTTGTGGTGAGTTCAGAGCTGCCTGTAGTCCAGACTTATCTAGTCCTACTTTTAAAACTAAATAAGAAGACTTCGCCCTCTAAGGACTTTAGGATATCTTTCTACTTTAGCTATGGGAGCATAAACCATTCTATTCCTAGTTCTGTGTAAGTCTCAGGAATTGTTAATCCTTTTGCTTTTGAAAGTGATTCTTTCCCCTCAGAGAGTTTCTGTGTGTGTGTGTGTGTGTGTGTGTGTGTCTGTGTGTGTATAGGTCAGTACTCAGCTAAAGCTTCAAAGTGATCCCTCTGCAGAGCTCTGGAATGTGCTCTCTCTCTCTTCCTTGCTCCCTCCCTCTCTCCAGCTCCCCCTCCCCCTTTCTAGTGATTTGACTCAAAAGGTCTAGTGGTTTGACCTCCCTTGGTTTGAATCTCTAGCTCCTCATCTCCAGGAGATTGCAGAACTCCATTTTTACCTCTTGCACGCAGGCTGGAAATCGCCTCCAGCAGCATCTGGGACAATTGTAAGACTTGCCTTTTTTTTTCCTCCCTCTTCTCAGATCAAAGTGCTGTGAGGCTTGTCACCCAATACATGAGAAGTATTATTTCATTTATTTTGCCCATTTTTATCGTTGTTTAAGGGAGGAGGAGAAATCCATTCTCTGTTACTTCATCATGGCTGGAAGCAGAAATCTCTTGATCTCCTACAATGAATGCTTGTGACTGAAAAAAACGACTTGGGAAAAAAAATTCAATACCTTCCAAAACATTTTTACTTGTTTATCACTTTGCTTTTTACCACCAATGAAATGTGAGCATTTCGTCCACTTCTGTATACTTTAGCGCTTATATTTAATCTTTTTTTTCTACCTTCTATCTCTCTATAAAATCAGTAAAATCATTCTCTCATAGTAATCTGTGAATAGGCAGCAACAACTATATGATATAACTATATAAACTATATAACTATATAAACTTATATACGGCCTAAGCCTGGTAAGAATAAACATGAACACATACCAGGATGTCAAAAGATGGCTTTTGTCTGCTCATGATCGTTTTCCCTTGTTCTTAGACAATGATTTGGGTGTGGTTGACACATACTTTGACTCAAGAATTGGGCACATGATTTGGGTTAGGAAATCAGAGTAGTTGTTTTGAGGATGGACAGAATCTCCCCAAGGTCTTCCTGGAATGATTAAAAAATCATTAAATTTAAATGATTAAAAATATCTCTACTTTTTTTCTCAGTTGCAATGATTCATCTTGGTGGGTATCGTTGCTACAGAGTAGAGAGTGAAGGCAATATTGGAAACATGGAGACAAAAAGAGAGTGCAAAGTATTATGATACTATGACTTGGCCTCTGAGATTCACTGCCTAGATTCAATTTTAGAGTTCCTGAGAATCTGTAATTTCCCATGTATGTTTAAATTTGTCCCAACTGGGTTTCCATCACCTGTAGGTTTAGGCAAACTTTTAACCTTGAACACCAAGATGTGTGTGAAATACAAGGAAAATGGCTATGTGCATGGAAGGATAACTGGAGTCTTACAGCAGCCGCCTTCTCCCACAGCCTGCAGGCACCCCCATCTGCAGGGAGGCGGCCAGTAGGTGACCTGAGCCTCAGGGGGTGGGCACCAGGCAGATTCTGCCCCAACCTGTGGACTCCTGTCACTTCCAGGCTGTTCAAGCTGTACCTCTGTGGCAGTGGGAGAATGGCAGAGCCACTTCTTGCTGACTTGAACACAGACCCCAATCTCCATCTCTGAGCCCTTGGATCACAACCTTCCGAGGCCCCAAGCTGCTGTGGACCAGGCAGAGTGGCAGTTACACATCCACAGTGTTTCTGTTGCTTTCATCTCGATGGAAGTTGCTTCTGTTATTTCAGTTTCTCGTTTCTGCCTTGGGCAATGAGAGGCAGGTGGAGATGGAGGTGCCTGGGGAAAAGACAACTCCACCGCGTTCAAGTGCTGATACACTCCTGAGGAAAACCCTTGCTGCCTTCATCATCCCACCTTGTTGACTTGGGCGTCCCTCTCCCAGTTGTCCTTTGGCAGAGGTACAGAACCATTTCCAGAAAGTTCTCTGATTAAGATAGTGTTGCCAAGGGTCTCCTGAGTCGAAGAGGCCAAGTCTCAGTTCTGCTACTGATGTGCCCCCAGGACGTCTCCACAAACCTGCACCAAGAAGAAATCACCCCGCCATTCATAAAACACTCCAGGATGTCCAAAAGAGTGCAGGGTTTTACTGTTGTGTCATTGCAGTACAAGGATAATGTATTTTGCAATATCAACTCCCTTTCCAGGTTGCAAAATGGGTTTGGCAAGAACCACATCACTGATAGACAAATCATGCTAAGGTATGCTTTAAAAGAATAATTTTCGGGGCTGGGGTTGTAGCTCAATGCTAGACCACTTGCCTAGCCTGTGTGAGGCACTGGGTTTGAGTCTCAGTACTGCATATAAATAAAATAAAGGTTCATCAACAATTAAAAAAAATTTTTTCAAAGTAGACTTTTAAAAAATAATATTATAGGCTGGGCATGGTGGTGCACATCTGTACTCCCAGCTACTGTGGAGGCTGAGGCAGGAGGATTGCAAATTCAAGGTTAGCCTCAGCAACCTACAAGGCCCTAAGCAACTTAGCGAGAACCTGTTTCAAAATAAAAACTATAAAAAAAAAAAAAGGGCGGGATGATGCTCAGTTGTTAAGTGCCCCTAGGTTCAATCCCTAGTACCAATAAAAATAAGACCAGTAATAATAATAATAATAATAATAATAATAATATAGGGACAATAATAAGAATAAACTTTCACACAGACCTCCCTTCTCTGCAAAGGGATTGTTGCCATTTTACTGATGTGGAAAGTGAGGCTGCTGGGGTGGAATAAACACTCTTCCTTCAACATCTCAGAGCTTCTAGCTACACCACGCAGCCTCCCGAGCTAAGGAGTCCCTGCCACTGCGGCCCCTCACACACACCTGACAGTGGAAGGCAGAAGAGGCTGCCTCGCTCATCGGGATGGCTCTCCTTTCCCAGGAAGCTGGCCTCCCTGCCTTCCTGCCTCTCTTTTCTAATTGTCCTCATAGCCTTCCGTCTCTGTGAATTTCACTGTTCTGGTTACTTTCTGCATCCCCTGTCTGTCAGTGGGATCATACAGTATTTGTCCTTTCCGACTGGCTTATTTCACTTAGACTCCATCAAGTTTCACCCACTTTGGAGCCTGTGTCAGAATTTCCTTCCTGGCCGGGTGCCGTGGTGCACGCCTGTAATTCCAGCAGCTTGGGAGGCTGAGAAAGGAGGATCATGAGCCACCCTCAGCAACTTAGAGAGGTCCCAAGCAACTCAGCAAGACCCTGTCTCTAAATAAAATACAAAAAGTGGCTGGGGACGTAGCTCAGTGGTTAAGTGCCCCTGGGTTCAATCCCCTGTACCAAAAAAAAAAAAAAAAAAAAAATTTTTTTTTCTTCTTGTTTCAAGTTGCATAATATTCCATTGTGGGACTCTACCATGTTTTGTTTATCTATCCATCCATCCATGGCCTCAAGATATTTTTGAACAACTTTAAGTTCTTCCTTATTTTGAACCCAATTCTAACCTGTGTTTGCAGGTCTCAGTTGTGACACTCTAAAATCTCACAAAATCAGCCCAATTCTTTTGCCCATGGTACTCCTCCACTTATTTGAAAACCACTTCCGGTCATTTCTAGAACCTTCCTTTCTGTTCTATGACATGAGGCCTGAGGAGCTGCTTCAGAGGGGAGCCGTCTATTGTCCTTTCTTTCTTCCTCTCCAGCTGACCGGGGATCTCAATGCCATTCTCTCTGCACCAGTGGCTTCTGCCTGGAGCATCTTGCTCATCTCTGGGGTCTCCTGGGGCCAGTACTGCCGGCCACACTCACCCCTTAGCCCAGGGGGTCAGCAGGACTCCTAGACGCCAGCCCAGCTGGCCATCCCCAACAAAGCAGAGCCGCACATCTGCTCCGGGCCATGTGGAGTTCTGGTGGACGGTTTCCCAATACACATTCCTGCCTCGGCAAATTATCTCCAGGAACACAGAGAGGAGGAAGACAGGGGAAGGAGATGCAGCATAAGAAACCAAGTCAGTCCTTCTAGACCAGCCAGTGCCTCCGGCTGGCTCTGGGTAGAAAGGGGAGATTGCAGCCTGAGCTTCTCCCCAGAGGGCGAAGGGGCAGATCGAGTTGCCTTTCTCCCTGCCCCGCCCTGAGGAATGGGCCTGGGGACACAGCGGCCCTTTCTCTGCGCTGATATCTTTGAGTCAAGGCGCCGTGTTGACCAAGCGGGTCAGAAACAGGACTGCAAAGCCATTGTCCGAACTGCCCAGGGAGGATGCGGCCAGCATTCCTAGGTGTGTTTGCAAGTGTGGCTGAGAGAGGAGGTGCCAAGGGAGACACTGGCACAGCCAGCCTGCCTTTGGAGGCCAGAAGTCCCCTGGGACAAGGAGGTACTTCAGATTAAATCCCTCCCAGGAGCACACCCAGTGTCACCCGCAACCACCGTAGAGGTCTGGCCCTGTGCTCAAGACTTGCCAGGTGACTTTCACAATGACACACTGTTCATTACAACAGAAGTCCTCTGGCTTCCCAGAACCTAGTCACATATCACTTGGCCAACTTTCCAAACTTTAAAAGATTCTAGAAAATTTGACTCATTTATTTATTGCTTATACATTATTCTTCCAAGTGATACCATGATACCACTGAAATCATTGAAAATTCCATGTGATAAATATCCATAAAGTTATTACCTCATGGACTTACAGACAGAAGACAAGTAACAACATGGATTGAAAAAAAGAAAACAACCATGTTAGAAGACAAACCAAGAAAGTTTAGCTCTGAGCTTGTACAATTAGATAAGAAAGAAAAAACAAGTTAGGCTGCAGAATGTTTTCCAGGTATGGTGGTGTAATCCCAGTGACGCAGGAGGCTGAGGCAGGAGGATTGTAAGTTTGAGGCCAGCCTCAGCAACTCAGACCCTCAGTAACTTAGCATGATCTTGTCTTGAAAATAAAAAATAAGAAGCCATGGGATGTAGCTCAGTGATAGAGAACACCTGGGTTCAATCCCTAGTACAAAAAAACCCCCCAAAAACCAAAAATAAAACCACGCATATATCCCCTCTTTAATTAAAGAGAACATATAGGTTCATCAGGAGATGTTGCCTTGGCAAATTTCAAAAAAGGATCATTCACAAAAATAGAATCTATATACAACTTTTTAGAAATTCATCTACTATGTATATAAGACCTATGCTTATGCGTGAGTATGCCTCATCTATATGGAGGTACATATAAATCTGTCTGCCATCTACAGTCTCTTCTTGTATACGTATTTCACAGATTTCAATCGCAACTTCCAGCAGACTGCAAGACCTCATCTGTTTCAGTGTGTAGCAATGGCTGCCTATCATGAGAAGAGTCGGGATCTTGTAGGAAAGATGCGGGGAAGGTAATCCCACAACTCCTATGGCCTCCTAGGTAGCCGAGCTGATCCTACACAAGTTTGGTTGGCTTATAATCTGGGGCCCTTGCCCCCACGGGGGGAAAGGAGGAATGGTCAGTCTTGCTAAGGCCAAGACCCTAAGGCTAGGACCCAGAGGCCTGGAGAAAGCTCTTTGGCACCCAGATGTCCTGCCCCAGGACATTTCTGTCTAAACCCATCCCATGGGCCAAGACTGGCATATGACTGGGCGCCTGCTCAGCTCCCATTTGGACTCCACCCCCTGCTGGCCCTGGAACCCTGCCCCAAACCACAGCTGCCTGGCTTGGGGCCTGACCATCTGCCTCCTCCTTGCCAGAATACTCTCTCTCTTTCTGGAGGGCAGGAACTTGTCATCGTACCCCTCCCTCAGCTACTGTGAAGGGTCCTGCTTCCACCCTGATGACCCAGACAGCCTCCACCCCTATGCAGTGATCCACTATTTTGTGGTCTCTGTTCCTCTATCCAAAGACCCTACCTATCCCACGTCTTCACCTCTTGGATTAAACCTGTTGGAAGTTTAGACCCAAGTCCACCAAGCCTGTGAGTGGTCACGATGTAGACTCCAAGCTGTTCTCCTTAGAAGCCAGCCTTTCCCCACCAACTCACTGTCTTAAAAAGGTTATGAAAGCAGAGGAACATGTCATCTTTCCCAGAAGGTGGTCCAGGCCCCCTAAAACCAGGGGGTTATTTATAGACAGTGCCCAGGGAGGGGGTGCTACTCCTCCACCCCACAAGCAGAATCAGGAGGAACTCAAAAGAGTCGAAAGTTACCACACTGTTTTCAAAGGCACAAAGTTTTCTACTCCTCCTGGCCATATTGCTATAAAGAAGCAGAATATATGTCCCATGGCCAGCCCCTTAGGGAGAAAGAGGTAAAATGACCCGTTCAATCCCACCCTTTAAGATGGGAAACATCCGAGAAAGAGCTGAAATATTCCCTGAACCTCAGAGGCTTTCCAGAAGAGGAGAATACTTTGGAATCAGTTCTTGGGACACATCCAAGGTTGAGGGGAGGTAGGAGGGTGGGGCTGTATCAGCTGACTGTGTCCCATAGAAACAATTTCCAGGTTTCTCCAGCAATGGACGTGGCTAACCAGAAGGGACCACATGTGATCTTTGAGAGGCTGTCAGGAAAAACTGCCAAGCCTGGGTTGTGGGGTATGTGCTTCCTGAGGCTGAGGGGTCCTAGAGGGTACCAACCACCGATGGTTGATGAATGGCGGCGTAGCCCTATCTGTTTGGAAGAAAGCCATGTCTGTAAGTATGGGAAGCAGTTCTGCAGCGGCTGGTCCATAGCAGGCTCCCAGGGTACAGTCATAGCTTTGGACATTGGAGACCCCACCACTGATGTAGAGACCGAGCCATGGCCCCTGGGGCTGGAAGAGATCGCATGAGGTAGTCCAGGACTTCTCTCAAGTGGAAGCAAGCTCCTCTGTAGCTGCCATGCCTCTGGGAGGGACTTTGAGAAGTCAAGGCTCTGTGGAGGGAAATATGTTCTCTTCTTTTCCACCTGATTCTGTCCTCCAAGAAAATGTTCCTATGGAAAACAGAGAGACAGGAACCTGAAGGTGGGCCAGCAGAGGCCGAGACAAGGCTTGAGAATAAAACATTGATGGGTCACTGTAGTTTTGCTCTTCAAAGTGCCTAGACCCCATTAGCTGGGGCCTGTCTTTTGTAACTTCAGTTACAAGTGCCCAGGTATTTATTTTCTGGTAGTGATTAAAAAGTAGATAAAATTCATAAATAGCAAAGCTACATAGCTTAAGCAACCTTCAAATAGAGCGGTTAACAGAATGCAATTACATAAAGAAGTACATCTGATGTTAGATGTGCCAAAAAGCTAAACAAAATAGAAAGAAAATCCATCATTCCGGCCAAATAAAACAGGGAGTGATTATGGACAATTGAGTTCTTTTCTTAACACAAGGAAGTCCTAACCGGCAGTTTGGCCGAGTGCTTCAAGATGGGAAAACACCCAAACCAGCCTCTCCTGTACCTTCTTCAGCTCTGCAAAAACCCAGGCACAGACTGAGGTTTCTGCTGTGAAGAGACGGCTGTGTGGCAGGCGCTGTTGGACCAGGAGCTACAGAGAACTCGTGGCTGTGGTCTGCACTGCGGCTTAGAGTCCTGCTACCGGGAAGCCACAGGGACAGGCTTGGATGTGAGGACAGTGGTCACAGGAGAGGTGTCCACTGAGAAGGAGGAAAGGAGACAAGGTAGTTATTAAATAGCAAAAATAGTTTGAAAGCAAAGTTTGCTAACTGTGACCGTCCCCTTGTGTTACCATAATAAAATACCATGCATTGGGTGGCTTGTAAGCAATAGAAACTCACTTCTCCCAATTCTGGAGGCTGGAAGTCCAGGATCAAGGTGCCCGCAGATTTGGTGTCTGGTGAGGGTCTGCTTCCTGGTTCATGGACCACCCTTTCAAGCTATGCTCTCACCTGGTGGAAGGGGCCAGCTGGTTTTCTGGGGTCTCTTTTATAACAACTGAAATTCCATTCATCACCTCTCAAGGGCCCCACCTCCTGGGCAGGGGATGTGGCTTGGTGGTAGAGTGCTTGCCTAGCTTGCACAAGGCCGTTGGTTTGATCACCAGCACTGCCAAAAACTTATGGCACCAAGGGCCCCCCCATCCCGGTACCATCACGTTGAGGGTTAGGACTTCAACATACGGATTTGGAGAGTCCGTAAGCATTCCACCCACTGCTCTGGAGAAGATAGCTGCCTTAATAATAGGTATGAACAGTCTGTGTTCATTTTTAAGTCCTTATAACGTGCACTGGGACAACAATTCCCTAAGGAAGACTCAAGTATTACCTGTGCATGGGAACTGGGAAAACAAGTATTTTAGTCGGCATTTTTTTGCTGACTAAAAGATTGGACTGGAACAATTTTAGGGAGGAAAGGTTCATTTGGGGGCTTGTGGTTTCAGAGGTCTCAACCCGTAGATAACAGTCTCCATTCCTTAGGGCTCGGGGTGAGGCAGAACAACATGGCGGAAGAGTGTGGTGGCGGGGAAGCAGCTCACATGATAATCAGGAAGCAGAGAGAGGCTCTGCTCACCAGATACACATTTCACATCCCAACCATAACAACAAGCAAAGGTCCTTAGCACTATCGATTTTCAAGGTGTGGTCTTGCTAATAGATATTTTTATTTCCTTATATCTCCCAACTCACTACAGACTTCCAGGCCCCCTCAGAACCACTGAGTTAGAATCTCCTAGGGCAGGGCCCATGGATTTGTATTTTAAAGCTTGTAAATATATTAATTTGGAAAACCATTAACCCACAGGGTAAAGGACCAAATAGTTACCATATATCTCACCTGTAATCTTGTAGTAGCTGGGAGCTGGAATGCACCTTGAATTTGGAATCCAAATGCTTGGGTTAAAATTATGCTACTTAGCCTTGAGCAGTTCACTTAATTCCCTATGACTCCAGATTTTCCCATTTACAAAATGGAAATTCTACCTAGAGTTGTAAACATTAATCGGGAAAGAAGTTAAATGCATTTACACTGTAAACCCCAAAGGGTTTATAAACTTTATGACCATCGTGGTATCATGAGTTCCCATCCAGGCACCGGGTTTAAGTTGCTGCCATTTCTCCTCTAGGCCAGACAATAACCCCCCTAACGTTGCCCCTTTCTTACCGTTTCACACTCTGCTGATTATACGTCTGCCTTACTGAAGCCCTCCAAAACCTTCCTATTGCCCTTGGAATGTGGTCCAAATCCTCCATAGAACCGATGGATAGAGAGAAGGTAGCATGATATGCAAATGACCTAGAATACCATTGGCTGCTCAGTAAAAATATACCCAGCTTCATTTTAATATTTGGGAGCCCCAGGCAGCCAAGACGCGTGCAGAGGATGGGGCCCTGGCTTCAAGCAGTAGAGAGGTGGGGCAGGGTGACAGACAAGCCCCTGACCTCATAGGCCTGTGGGCAGCCCATTGAAGAAAGAGATGAAGATGTGAATTTGGTGTCAACATACCTTATATACAAGCAGAGGTATGATAAATTGTGGTATAAAGGTGCATTAAGAATCGTAATGAAAAAAAAAAGAGAGCACTCATGTATAATGTCATAATTTGGCGTGAACATACTTTATATATAGAGTTACGAGAAATTGTGCTGTGAATGGATAATTATGAATGTAATGCACTCCACTATTGTCATGTATGTAAGAAATAAAAAAGAAAATAAAGAAAAAGAGAAAAACACACTATCAAAAATGTAGATTGTTAGGGGCTGGGGTTGTGACTCAGCGGTAGACTGCTCGCCTAGTACGTGGGAGGCCCTGGGTTCGATCCTCAGCACCACATAAAAATAAATAAATAAAATAGAGGTATTGTGTTCAACTACAACTAAAAAAATAAATATTAAAAAAATATGCCTATGTGTTACATTATTCCCTTCTCTCCCTTTTTTTTAAAAAAATTATTTGTTTTAATTAGTTTTAAAGTACATAATGCATTTATGCATTTTGATATATCATACATAAATGGGGTATAATTTCTTATTTTCATATTGTACATGTTATAGAAAAAAAAATATATATATATAAATAATAATAAAAAAATAGAAAAAATAGAGCTGCTAGACTGTGTGAACCTAAAGGCATTAATTCTAATTCATAGTGTTTATAGTAACATAATTAAATATAATTTAAAAGGCTAAAAGAACACATAATTTTTAATATACAAAGATACTTGCTAATAGATATTTTTATTGATGGGAGCATTTTTCATTAAAAAAATAACCTTTTATTTTACAATGGTATGTCCCTAGAAAAGTTGCAAAGATACACCAGAAGTTCCTTCTACTCCTCACCTAGTTTCCCGAGCTGTCAATCTTACATTAGCATATGCATCTATCAAAAGCAAGATGCCCATGTTGGTGCAGTATTGTTAACTGGACCCCGGTCTTTATTTGGGTTTCACCAGTCCCTCCCGTTGAGGTCGGGGTCTAATCCAGGAGCCCACGCTGCTCTGGGTCCCCTCATCTCCTTGTCTCCTCTGGGCTGTGAGGCTTCCTGAGCAGGAGCCGGGTGGACTGTGCTCCCTGGGATTGTGCGGTGCTTTCTCAGGACGGGGCTGGACAGTGGTCTGGGGAGGCAGAGCCCAGAGCTGAAGGGCATCTTTCATCACCCACGTGGAGGCGCCTGCCATCAACATCCCTTTCCACTGTCGATGTTGACCTGACCACTCGCCAGGGAGGAGGTGCCAGATGGCTCCCCATAAAGGTCACTTTTGTCCCTTTTCTGTGCGGTACTCTTTGGAAGCAAGTCCCTGCTTAGCACTCTGGCCATGCTCCAAGCAGGTGAGTGCAGGTGAGGGGTTTGAAGCTCCCCTCCCTGAGAGGAGGAGTCCTACCAAAGTGACTTGGAGTTCTTCTGTAGGAAGCCTCGTGTCCTGCCCCAGGCATAACCTTTACCTTTGTGATAGACACAGTCCTCTTTCCAGGGGACAGATTAAATGGATGCCTGGCTCTCTGTTCCAGTTTCCCTGCCCTTCCCAGGGTCTTCCTTATTGACATCATCAGCATCCACACAGCACTGCACAGTGGCTGTCCTCCTCAGTTCTCCCACAATCCCTATGGCCTGCGCAGGACTTCAAAGAATATTGGTTGAAAGACCGATTTTTTTTTTGGGGGGGGAGTACTGGGGATTGAACCCAAGAGCTCTCTGTTACTGAGCTACATCCCCAGCCCCTTTTATATTTTGTTTTGAGACAGAGTCTCACTAAATTGCCCACTAAGCTGACCTTGAACTTGCCATCCTCCTGCCTCAGTATCCAGAATCTCTAGGATGACAGGCTTGCACCACCCTGCCTGGCTTAGCCCAGAACCTTCTGCTCACCATTGAGTGTGAGGGTTGTTCTAAATGTTTTACGTGTAATAATTCCTTTCATCTCAACAATTACAGATGAGGAAATTGTGATGCAGAAGTAAGTTACCCTTTCATGTTATGGTTGGATCTGGAATGTCCCAGGAAGTCCCATGTAGGCAGAGGAGGAGCTTTGGGGAAGTGATTGAGTCATAAGGGCTCTGACCTCATCAGGAGATTAATCTGTTGAGGCTGAATGGACCACTGGGAGGTGGGACCTAATTGGAGGTGGGACCTAGAAGATTTTACATCTTCTTCCCAGTTATCATGAGCTGAAAGTTTCCTCGGCTGTCCCCTTCTGCCCCACCTCAGGCCCAGAACAATGGAGCTGGTCAACCATGAACTGAATCCTCTGAAATGGTGAGGCAAAATAAAATGAACCTTTCCTCTTCTAAGTCATTTTTGTCAGGTATTTTGTAACAGCAATGAAAAGCCAATACACTTACCCTATATGCAATCCCTATGTCACTTCATTCACTCATAAGGCTTCAAAGATTACTTGCACTGAATGACTCAGTCTTAAATGTAACCTCCATGAGATCCAAAATTTTCCTTGACTGTTGGGTTCTCCCACAAATCCCTATAACCCACTCCAGGACTTCAAAGAATATCAGTTGAAGAACTGAACAAGTTTAACCTGGATTTTTAAATTTTTTCAACACTGGGGCTTGAACCCAAGGGTGCGGTACAACTGAGCTACACCGCCAGCCTGTTTTACTTTTTATTTTGAAACAGTGTCTTGCTAAATTGCCCAGGTTGGCCTTGAACTTGTGATCCTCCTGCCTCAGCCTCCCAAGTTGCTGAGGTTACAGACTTGAGCCATCCTGCCTGGCTTAGCCCAGAACTTTCTGCTCTCTAGCGATCCTAGCAACTCTATTTGTGTGGCCCACGGGCACTTCAGATTCAAAACATCCAGAAACAACTTGTCACCCCCAATTCTTCTCCACCCTCTGAATACATTCTCCATTTGGTATTTTCTTTCTCTGTGACTCCATCATCTCCCTGTCACATAAGTCATTCCCCTTTGTTTACCACAGTCAGCCTGTCTTCCGGTGCCATAGTTCCACTGCCCAACATCTCTCAACTCATCTACTCGTCTCCATTCCTACCCTAGTCTTAGAGGTAACGCAGACGTAAGACCCTGGGAGTAGGTTTCCTGGGTTTAAATGCTATTCCCTGCTACCTGTGGGACTTTGGGCAAGTAATGGAAATGCTCCTCAGCTTCTTAATTTATATCATTTAAGATTAAGGTGTAGGGCTCCAAGTAATAGAGCCCCATTTCAAACTGGTTTCAAAAAGCAAAAAAGGAAATTTGTCATTCATCTGAGTCACGGGTGTCCAGCTGGATGGAGGAGAACATCATGGTACTTCCTATCCTGTATGGCTGATATACTCTGTGTGGGGTTTTATTTGTGCACAGGCTCTTTCTTCATGGTAGCAATATGGCTGCCAGAGCACCAGTAGTACATCCTATCCTCTCAAGAACTCCAGAAGAAAAACAATCATTTCCTGTTTTCTTTCTTTCTTTCTTTCTTTTGGTAAATAAAGCAAACAAATAAACTCAGGACTGTTTGGA